ATACCGGCCGGTGGTCGTAGACTACGCGGCTGAGTGAAATCACCTGTGGTCCCACCAGCCGGCCGTCGAACGGTCGCCGGCCGGTGCGAGTGTCTGAGTACGAAAGAATGCAGCAATTGTGCGGCCGTTGCAGTCAGTGCGGTCAGCTGCAGTCTGCTGCAGTCAGTGCGGCAGTATGAAACAACCCTTAGGAGCAATTACTTGCAGTTGGAGCAGGAATCTTCTTTTTGAAGCACGCTAGTTTTCGTACCTGACATTGATGGTGCTTTTGCAAATAAACTCTTTTTGCGTCTTTTATCTACTACCTGCAACTCTACTCTCCATGTGCGGACTTCAAGCATACTAAATATATGACTCTAGTAAGAAACACGCGATATCTCAGCTCCTCATTTTCATCTAACATTGATAAGTTCGAAAATGATTGCGGTAACCTCAATCAGCTGCGTTTTAACTTCATAATGCTTTTTTCAGTTGTACAATCGCACTGACAAAAACTTTGCTCTCTTTTATAACTTTACCATGAATGACCTGTTCGGCTCCCGTGGAATTGTGCATCTCAAGCTTGACAGTCCAATGATTGGGACACATTAACAATTACAGACAAGTATATACATGAGCGAAATATGTAAACTCTCCTCTTACACTTGCCACAGCAAGCGGAGTGTGAAGAACATAGAGGCAGTTGTACAACTGTTCAATGCGCTCAGTACATACAAAGCATTATAAACAGGAAGCTAATCTAGCATACCGACCGCAAGCTGAAAAACAGATTTTGCTGAAACATCGTGTAGAGGGGTTATCTGACTTGACCACAGATATGACTTTCATTCGCTACGGTAGCCCTTATCGTGGGGTTACGATAGGTATACGTAACAGGCCAAAATCAAGTATCTGCTTGGAAGGTGGAAGGTGGGGGGTTATCTGACGTTCTGGTCATGAATATTACACACAGTCCACATACGTTCCTATCATGGATTTATGAAGTCAAAAAGGTTTGAAAATTTATAGCTGTATGCCATAACTCTTCAAAAATGCTTCTCTCCACATATGCTCGAGTCATTTGTAACTTAATATGCGTATTGCACACCATACGCGCTATTTGACGAACTTAGAAGATTGGAACCTGCTTATTTCAGCGACTTCGCCTTGTTTCTTTGCCTATTTTAATTTGAAAGGATATTAATTAGTCAGTAGTATACACTTCTACACTTTGTTACGCTAGAAAAGATTTGATCGAGAAGTTAATGCTAAGGGTGCCGTCCGTTGAAACGCTTTGTGTGCAGGCTCACATATTAAGCTACGAATGATTCGACGAACTATCGAAACTCCACCAAGAGGAATCAACATGCTAAAAGGGCATGATATTCGTAATCAGTGTGTCAAATAACCCCTATATGAGAAGTTTCGGTAGTATCTGGAATTTTGACCTCATACCTGCGGTGCATCCGCCAGAATTGTTCCCATATGAACTATCAACATGGCTGTCTTTCAATCATTTTACTATGTTAACTTCGAATAAGCGCCTCAAATCTGCTGGAGTTAGCATGTTAAAACGATCGCGAGGCACCACGTTGATGGTTCATATGGGAACAGTGCTGGGGGTGCGCTATACTCACTCCGTAACCACACTATGAGGGATCATTGCAACTATATCATATCCGTTATCAACATGCTAAATAACGCCCCTATAAGAGGTTTCAACAAATCTGAGACTTTCACTTCTTGGATCAATATACTGGAGTAGAATGGACGATTCATTGCACGCAGAGACAGCGCTCGCTGCGGACGCTAGCGGCGTTTCTCTAGACAAGCGCTTTCAACAAAACTTTAAACTTCCAAACAAGCTCGGATGTCTTTGAGCGCGATGACTCCCCTCTACCATAAATAACAAGAGTAAACGAATAATAACCTAGCGTACATAACGCACAAAGATGTAGTAAAGCCATCCTCTCCTGTAATATAAACCCGATCCCAAAAAACGAGACGGCGAAGATGGTCCGCCCACTTGTATGCTTCAGCGAGTGTTTTGAATAGACGCCAGTTTCCGAACGGGGCCTTATTGTGTAGAGACGCGACGGTGCGATCATGTGGTCAAGAGGACGCAGAGGTCCTAGCGCGAACGAGAGGCCACGACACGCAGGGTACGCTCTGCTGCTGCAAAGGGTGTGTTGAAAGACGCAAGCGCGTGCCAAGGGTGTTGAAATTGCGAGCTGGACATTGTTGCAAAATTAGTTATAGAAGCATACCATTTGATCCGCTCACCTTCGATCTCAGTATTCATTATGCTTCCACATTTCCGCCCAATTTTGAGAAAATCTCCCAAAATCTCGCTTTTGGGAGCTTTTGCTCTGGGTGAATTCGATTTTTCTCTCCAGATTGTAAGCGTGAGTGCGAGAGTGACATTGCGAAAGGAAGCTGTACAGCGATGACTGGGGAAGACAAATTTTTAGCACGATATGATCCACTTTTCCGCCAAATTTTGAGAAAATCTTCGAAAATCTCGCTTTTGGGAGCTTTTGCTATGGGTGAATCCGATTTTTCTTTCCAGATTGTAAGCGTGAGTGCGAGAGTGACATTGCGAAAGGAAGCTGTACAGCGATGACTGGGGCAAGACAATTTTTTAGCACGATATGATCCACTTTTCCGCCAAATTTTGAGAAAATCTTTGAAAATCTCGTTTTGGGAGCTTTTGCTATGGGTGAATCCGATTTTTCTCTCCTGATTGTAAGCGTGAGTGCGAGAGTGACATTGCGAAAGGAAGCTATACAGCGATGACTGGGGCAAGACAAAATTTTAGCACGATATGATCCACTTTCCTCCCATTGAAAATATCTGAAAATGTTACTTTTGAGCTGTTGTGGCAGTACATGTGCTGACAAATTGGAATTTCACTTGAGAAAATTTTAGGTATGAAAGAAGTTTATTTATGGGTGTGCCCTACCCGCTTGCTAGCGACCCGTAGGGTCGCTAGTCTTATATATACAGCTGAATGTCTGTTTGTATGTATGTATGTCTGTCTGTATGTATGTATGTATGTATGTTCCGAATAGAAATTTTTATTTCTGAACCGATCCGGACCAAACTTGGCACACATACATTTCGGGGCGGGGCGGGTGTCATAGGCTACTTTTCGTCATCGATCGATATCGATTTTATCGATTTTTATCGATTTTTTTGCTGAGTTCACCTACGGGGCTGGGAGTTGGCACAGGGGGGTAATCGAGCATGGGGATTCCGAATACAATATTGGTTTTCAGGATTATCGATTACTTTTATCGATTTTATCGATTTTTTTGCAAAGTTTGAGCTACGGGGCTGGGAGTTGGCACAGGGGGGTAATCGAGCATGGGGATTCCGAATACAATATTGGTTTTCGGGATTATCGATTACTTTTATCGATTTTATCGATTTTTTTTGCAAAGTTTGAGCTAGGGGCTGGGAGTTGGCACAGGGGGATAATCGAGCATGCTGATCACTCCCAAGGGGGGTGATTAGCATGCTCGATTACACCCTTGTGCCAAATTCCAGCCCCTAGCCCAAATTTTCAAAAAATCGATAAAATCGATAAAAGTAATGGACGATCCTGAAAACTAATATTGTGTTCGTAATCAGCATGCTCGATTACCCCCCTGTGCAAAATCCCAGCCTCGCATGTCAAAATTTACAAAAAAATCGATAAAATCAATAAAAGTAATCGATAATTTTGAAAACTAATATTGTATTCGGAATCCCCATGCTCACTTCCCCCCCCCTGTGCCAACTCCTAGCCCTGTAGGTGAACTCTGCAAAAAATCGATAAAAATCGGTAAAATCGACATCGATCGATAACGAAAAGTGGACTGTGACACCCGCCGGGGCCCGAAGTGTATGTGTGCCAAGTTTGGTCCGGATACGGCGGAGCCGGGTAAGCCAGCTAGTTTCTTATAAAGTGCAAACTCTGCCATGATGTGCAGGTTACAACTATGAAGTTTAAAGTTCAAAAAACCCATATCAAGGCGTAAATTACGTTATACAGGGTGTCCCAAAAGTATGTATCGAACGTTTGATCGTTAATATCTCTCTTCCCAAGAAGTCTTTTGCCTTGCTTCAAGTACCATTTTGTAGAGCTAGCTTCAACTTAGATTTGCATTATAGAACGAATCACTCATTCCTCTTCATTACTGTAGGATTACGGTAGAAACTTCAAAGAGGGTTTTAAGCAATGAAAGGCCATATTTTGCCTTAGAAAGGAAATAAAACAGCCTGAAAGTTTTCACACTAGGCTAATTAGAGTTGCTGATTATAACTGTAAAGTTCCCAACTTATTATGATGCTTCACTGAGGAGTTATGCCAGGTAAGAGGTAGCGGCCATTTTTTCAATGTTCCTAAAAAGTGCGATTACACCGTTTAGAAAGCTTTGTAATCTTGTGAATAGTTGAGTATTGAACTCAGCATCCATAAAAACCCTATTACACAAGTTTTCACAATTTTTTGAAGAATTTTGGAACTGCAGCTTTTTCCACATTGACACCATATGTTTCAAGTTTCTACCGTAATCCTACAGTAATGAAGAGAGATGGGTGATTCGTTCTTTAATGCAAATCTAAGTTGAAGCCAGCTCTACAAAATGGTACTTGAAGCAAGGCAAAAGACTTCTTGGGAAGAGAGATATTAACGATCAAACGTTCGATACATACTTTTGGGACACCCTGTAGTTGTGTTTGCGTCTGCATTCTTAAAGTCATATGATTAGCATGCTTGAAGTTCGTCATATGGGGAGCAGAGTTGCAGGTGATAGACCAAAAGACGCAAAAAAGAGTGTACTCGCAAAAACGTCATCAAAGTTATATAGGAATGATAATGTGCTCTAAACAAGATTCCTGCCCCAATCGCAAGTAGCCTCCTGAGGGTGAATCTACGCAGCCGTTGGATCAAAGGGTACTTCGTGCACCGATATCGCAAACATAGCTTTCTTCCATGCAGAACAGAATCCGCATTCGAAAAAGACTACATATAATACCATTTACATTTATTGACTGTCTAATACAAGCATAAATACAATAAGTTACAGTATCTCCTATAGAACGAGAACATTCACCTAAAAACAGAAAACATACACATGAAACAATCAACACGCCCCCATCTTTCTAAAAAACATGAAGGTGACCATCGAAGATTCATGCCTGTGTCCTAGTGGATTCTGGGCATGACCGAAATGGCATAAAAGAGAAAGGACGATTGGTAGAACAGAAACACTCAATAAATAGTACATGAACTGATACACAAAGGAATGTTAGAGTTGATCAAACAAGATGCACACGGAACATGGCTACAAGTTGGTTAGTAAACAAGCTGATTCAGCAGAAGGCCATTGAATAATGTTAATAAAACCATTTGAACTCAAAACAAGCGCAACTCGTATTATGCCTAAAACCAATACTTGAGACCATCAAAATTGGTAAAAAACGAAAGAATACATACAGACTAGGAAGTATCTGACATGACACGGTAGAAACATAAAAACAACTGGTGCTACATAAGCAGTAATCAGAGGCTTTGATTTCGAAAGTCTTAGACTTCTCGCTTACGGATCAGCTCACTAAGAATATCGTCTTGATCCCTAAGACGTGCAATGCAAGGAGGCATTTCACCTCCAAACAACACCTGGAAAAAGGAACAATGAGAGAGCTCAAGTGCTATTTTTTCGAATTTGCAAAAAAATGAAAGCGCCATTGAAAGTAAACAGGAAAACCCACATCAACAACATTGAGCAGATACTTCCTGTAAGGATGACTGAAGGGCACCACTGCCCCAGCTTCAAGTATTTCGATAAAAAGTTTATGTAGCTGCTGAGAAGACATGGTAGTGGGATCAGTGCGATACATTTTAGGAAAGAAACGACGCATTCCAGAAGAATCTCTGTGCGGTTTATCCTGTTCTGAAAACAATGTAGATCAATAAGAATGCAGATGTACTGTTAAAAAAACGATAGTATTATGAGATGTTAGGTGTTAGGAGGTAGTACGAGTTATTGTCAATTGTTTGAGTTGAAGCGTACGCTATCCTTCTTACAAGCGCACTCATAACTTTTGACTACCGGCGGCTAAGTGAAACAGAATATGTTTACACAAGATAAATGTGTTTCAGAGTGGGAGAAAGACAGTTAATCAAGCAAAAGGCATTATGCGAAAGCTAGATGGAAAAGTCGAGAGGATTTCAGCACGTTTTTTGCATCGAGTGATGATTTACTCTACAATACCTGAACAATAGCGCTCGTAGCCACGCTTCAAATCGCTGTAGATCCAGTCTCTCAAGGGGTGCAGCTCATCCGATAAGGGATCGTAATCGTGTTTGGCATGGTAAAGCCTAGAATTTTGACAGCTCATTGTAAAACAAATCGAAACTATGAACTCACCGAAGTACAAGGTCCTCGAGATCTGCTATCGGACGTCCTCTTTGCGTATGCGTATTCAGCTGATACACAAAATGACTCCGCTGACCGAATCTTATCATCGTGTCCATATGGAGCTCCAAGAAAAGCCTCTGGAAGAAAGTTTATAGATACAGGAAGTAAAATATACCCTACCCACGTTCAACCAGTAAGGGCCAGCTTCGTCACATCGTGCTTTCCCCAAGGTCACCATCATAGTGTTCCAGGTGATCATGAACCACTTGCTGCCATCAGACAGATCGACAAAATCCAAGAGGCGCTGAAACAAGGCAGCACTCCCTGAGTTTAACAACAAAGCGGTAATTTATTACCCGTGTAGTGCTGTGTGTGAGAACTTCATGCCCTGGTGCAGGAAGATGACGAGCATAATGTGGAAGACGCTCTCCACGATAAAGCCATCGTCCCGATTCCGGGTGGATAAATCTCTGTTCTCTGCAAAATATACCATGTGTTTATAACAAAATCCGTAGACTATGACACATACTCAACGGGGTCATCCAGGGACTGTCCAGCAGATTTCAAGGAATCACAAAAGATAGTAAGGTCCAAGCGAGCCTTCGTTCTCAACTCAATCGCTTGATCACTACAACACGTACGATGACTCAAGCACAATGAACAAAAAGAATTACCGCGTCCAAGTGTATGTGGGGTCCCTTGCTGGTATATAACCACGTTTGCCGTAAGCGAGCATCTCATGCACATCGTCGAAATCTGGATTCAAAAACACGTCAATATGGAGTCGATGCCAACGTTCGTCCTGCTGAGGGTCCTAGATTATACAGTGTATACACATATTGGAATTATCTCTTATACTCCATATGACGGAACAACAGTTGTTAAAAACGTACTATGCGGAAGTTTAGCTGGAAGGTGAGGCGTGGATACGAGAGATGATAGTGTAGCAGAAGAGAGTACATGTTCTTGAAGGGACTGCAAAAAATATGACATGGAAATAAGGTTAAACACATTTATCATTTCGAAAGTCATATTGCTAACACATTATCAGCACTAATCATCTTGGCAAGATACATTATCAGAACTTGACTTCGGTCTACAATGCAAGGAACAAAAGCAAAATTAGTGCAAACTTATTGATAAGCTTTTGATAGTTTTTGCAGGGAAAAAAGTAACGAAGTGATTGCCTTTGTATGTTGATTGATATAATTAAGCGCTAGTAATCATAAGTCACAAAAAACTGCTTGTTCGGAGATAAAGAATACCGTTCACAAATTATGCATCTATCAGTTTGACGCTGATCTACAATCGTTATCCATCCCATTTCTTCGACTTCGGTAAGAGTGGCCAAAGTGGAGTTCTGAGTAGGACAAGCATAGATAATCATGATGAAATATAATCAAAAAAGTACCTTTGGTGAATGATTTTCTTTGCATGTACTCGACGGCTCATCATAGTAATCACGTGGGGCAATTCCAGATGAGATCCGGTAACTTAAGTCATAGGCAATAATGTTTTAGGGAAGATGCCGCATGATTGTTTACGAAAAACAGTATGAAGTTTCAAAACAGAAGCATGAAGCCGTCAGAGGCAAAATTCCCAGTAGTAAAAGCAGGGTTTCAAACCATGCAAGTCTTCCAAAATGCAAAAAGGAGAGCGCAAATTTCACTGTACAGCTGTTCATCTCAAAGTCAACTAGCGACTTGAACTATAGAACGCATCTAGCCGAACAAGTTCAAACATCGAACCCACATAATCGTTGGCGGTATTTCAAGCCTCAACCAGTTCTGAACGAGCATAAGGTTGATCCTTCCCATGTTTTTCAGTGGATGGAAGACTGCAAGACAGAAGAGTTGAACGAATGAAGAAAGGAAATGACGTAAAATGCCACTTACTTGTCTCTATAGTTCGAATGTGATTTACATATCTTCCATCTTCATCTGGACTGAATATCCCAAGATAAGGATCAATTGTACGTTTCAACTCCACTCTTTGTACAGTTGACTCCTCACGTTCTGGAAAGATACTCATTTGCTCGTAAACCTACTGCTTATGCCAAGAAAGAAATCAATACGAACCAGAACAAGCCGAAAGCTCATCATCCCCGTCAATGCCATCCCAGGAGCGCGAGCTGAATAAATGAGGTAAGTAATTCCCAGTTAAACCAGTTTTACGCACACCTCCTATTAGACGAACAGCAGTCAGAGTCGTCGTCGTAGTTTAGACCAACAGCAACTCTCATTTGTAAGAAAGGGTTGGTATGGAGACGCTAAGGTTAATAACACAATCAGAAGTGTACAGGTGTGAAACCAAAGCCTAGAGATGAATCTTACCTTTGACCAGTACTCTAATTCAGACACAATCACCGGTGAAGAAATATCGACGCTGAGTTTGTCTTGTTCTCTAGAAGAACTTATGGTCAAAAAAGAGGTTATTTAAGTTGTGAAACGCACATTAAAATCACATTATTCTCTCCAACAATAAAGCCACCTTTGCTCAGCGGACCGTCCATTCTATAAAGACACCTTGCACCAAAGAGCGTATGCTGAACAAAAGATGTGGATAGAAGAGTAACGTCATATAGTACAAGCAAGCAGCCCACCTCAAACGTAACCTTATGGTCACGATTGACGCTGTCTGTTCGCAAGCGAGTAGGCAGGTTCCGGAGAGCGTGTCCTTCAAAATTATCAATTGAGACATACCGAGCATTTTAACATTACTCCCATAACTTAGATACACCACGACTTAACTATGAAAAAGACCAAGGGAATTGCTTGAGATTGCAGAACTACAAGATTCATCACGCTCACACACACACACACCAACAACACAATGACAGATCTGATACATTGTGATACTTTTTCTTAGCTGGAAACTCCGCTTGTAATTACACCTATCAATTCATTAATGATTGCAAAATGCAGCACTATCTCTTGCTTAACGACGCATGATATATGTAAAACAGCAGTAATGGCGAGTTCGCTCGTGAGAGGAAGGCCAACAAAAAGGCGCCCTGACAAACCTCAATCTCAAGATTCTTATTCCACGATCCACAAAAACTGATACGAATTTTCGTACAAGTGAAGGACAATTATCATAAAGGTGGGACATTTCAGAAAGATATACTGATATGAGTGAAGACAGAATAGATCACAGAAACGGTAACAATAAGGCGTGAAAGTTTGCTATCAATACGCCTAAGTTTGTGGAGGAGTACAGAACATACCATCAACGCGGATTCCCTTCAAGTTATTCGTCACGTCCACGCGGACAATAACATATACGCGAAGATTCGCATCATTCGAAATTGTTGGTACGTCTATGGACACCGGCTGCATAGGGGCGTTCACAGAGACAGTAAATGTAGCAGAAGGTAGACGTTCCTAACTAGGTATAATCAAAAATCACCAAGGCAGTACAAAGAGTGCACCAAACTCACAACTTTTCCAAAAACTTCTTCTTGCTGTTGGACGGTGTAAACTTGGACCTTTGCCAAACGCTCTCCCTCGAGGAAATTGTGAAAGACCATTCTAAATACTATTATTACTATATATCGTAATACCACCACACAATGATGAAGGATGATGAACAACACATTGACGCATACGGAAAACGCTATTCATTAAGTACCTGAAAGATAGCGTAACAGAATCCACCAAAGCAGAATTGCCATTTACATAATTTTCGATGCTAGAACCATTCGATGAATGGTTATGTTTCCTTTGATATGATGGTACGGACTGAAAGCGAAACCAGTTGAGTTCGTACTAAAATACTCCAGAACAAAAAACTTTACCACTCCCTGAGAACTGAGAAACTTTCTATAAGCCAGAGAACGATGTAATATCTGCACATCCATGGTCTTTTTGAAAGCAGCTAGCGTTCCAACAGAGAAGTGGAAGTCGTGCACACCAGCAAACTTCTGCACCTGAAAGCTGGCAGACATTGAAACCTGGCAAGAAGGCAGCTGAGTGAGAGGGGTGTATGTGTAAGAAATAACTGCCAAGATGAAATTCAAACATGTTAAAAGCAAGGTTCTGCTCCAGATTTTGTGCACTTATGAACATATATATGTAGCATTATAGACCCGTTCCAATATTGGAAAATGTATGAAGACAAAATTAGTTCAAACTGTAAAAATACACAGTCAATATAGCCCAAAAATGACTTAAATAGCAATCTCAATATTGCATAAATACGGAAACAGTGCATAGAAGAAAAGAAATCAATTTATACTGAGAATCATAGACTAAACAAAAAGGAAGATCTTTGGGTTCAATTATTAGCAAACTAACGACAAACTTTTTCACATTATAAGTCTACTTACCTTCTCTTCGGCAGAATTGCGAGATAGCATAACATCCACGATATCACTCAAACGTGCTCGACGCTCTGCAGCTGAGCGGTGAACTACATTTCGAACAGGCTTCCATGGCCAAAGCAGTGGTGGAACATCCTCACCGAAAGTGTACGAAGGAAGTGGCTGAAAGTATGATCAATTGAAAAATTATCCGCAAAAAAAGGCATTAACCAAATTAAAAATAAAATAAAATCAACCAACCCTATCAGCAAATGCTCTTAGGTAGAGAAGATTTCGTCGAAGATAAGGCTGGAATACAGGACGCGTGCCATAATCCAGTGTTGACATGGCCTTGTAAGTGCGGAGAGAAGCTGAACGATCACAGAACTTTTCAGCTAAACACCTAGCTCTTTACGACAGAATAACCTGGAGATGAAAACATTTGACCCACAGAGCATTCTGTCACGGAAATCGAGGGCAGTCATTCCATTCAATGCACGAGCGCTCAAGTCCTTCTGCATATGAGAGCAATTTCCAATGAGTATCAAAGCAAAGGAGATCGTAACCTCACAAGGTGTTCATGTGAGTCTCGAAGTTGCCCATCCTCATTGCTGACCTCATCCTTACCGCCATTCTTGGAGATCAGTCTGGATGAGCTAGAACTAAGACTGTAATAAAGCACACTGGCTCAAAAGCAAAACTCATACCTGGGTTTCAATAAACAGAAGTCCCTGGACATTCTCGTTTTTCTCTGGAAAGAAAAAAGAATTCGATAAATTACACAATCATTGTGAACATATGCATTCACTCCACAATCCTCAATGCAAAAATCAAACATATACGCGCAGACTTGTCAATCGATAACTTGCATGAAACACTGCAGCCTTTCTGAAATGAAAAGAAAGCGTCTCACCATTTTTGAGAGCATACAAACGGGGAGAACGGTAGATGCGGAAGGAATAGAATTGTCCTCTTCGTTCTTTGCCACTGACTTTTTACTGTATAACTTCAACGAGGCATAATTTTCTGAGCAGCGGAGACGCGTCTCGAACTCCTCATCAGCCTCTCTCCTAACAAAATTTGACCGAGGTATCCTCTTCCTGTCATGTTTGCGTCTCCCCATGATATCTGCAAAATGCCTGCAGAGAGACAAAAAAAAATACTACAGAGACAAGGAAAGCGATGGAGAACAAACTTGGTCACTCAGTATGCCGGAAGATACCAAAAACTGGAAGCAAACTTTGAAAATAAAAGAAAATAAAGCATCGAGAGCGACGGTGCTTCTGTTACACCACACAAACCAAGCGAAAGGACGTCATTTTGAATCCTTTCGGAGATGGTCGCGAACAGATAATCTCCTGCCTGTATTGCACTCGCGGCGCCAATGTTTAAATGGCGCACTTGCTGATTGATTGAGCTCCTTCTCATTTTTGATGCGTGGAGCTAAGAGCGTGTTGTTATTCTCGGATATCAAAAGGGAATAGGAGTAATATTTTTAACATAGACACGGACATCGCGGGTTTTTTTGAGTCGCTTGCACGGTAACGCCTTCGAACTTGGCTCAGAGGTCGAGCTGAAGTTCTCTTTTCAGGATAATGGTAGTGTCCAAGCACTCGATTCCTAGCAAATTCACTTTGCTGAGGCTATCCGCAACGATAAAGTCGAAAATCCAGACGTATTCGTGCTTCTGCTCAAACGTTATGCTCTCGCACTTGGGCGACGGCGTGGTCGAGGGGCTCCACTTCCGCATGGCGTTGACATCCCAAAACTCTCAGCTTATCCAGATACCCATCAAGGAACGAGCTCCTGGAATCGGTTCGGCATACTGATCTGGAAGTTCCGGAACAGCGCATTTTTCGTGCGCTGAAACTGTGCCGGAACTGTGCTGCATGCGCAGCAATCGCAGGCTTCAGCGGCGGGAGAAGAGATTTTTGACGATTATTCTCTCAACTTCACTCATTTCGGACTCCCTTCTACTTCGCATCCTCTTTTAACAGTTGACGACCTTGTGCATACGCACGTATGCAAAACGGAATGTTTTAAGGCCTAAGGCATACCTCGCGCGATTCCGGTCGCTGCGCGATTTGGCACAACAGCGACTCTTCGTAATTCGTCGTTGACGCGCTGCCTTTGGTCAGGACTTGCTCTTTTTGCAACAGCTTACACAAGCTACCCAAATATGCGTCCGAGAAGTGCGCACGATAAATTTATGGAAATCTGGCAAATCGCCAAGTTGCGTGAAAGTGGCGATTCTGCCGAATCGCGTGAGGTATGCCTTAGGCCTAAGGTAACTTTTATGCAGCAATACTACTGGTGGCCTGATTGTCTTACGGAATACAGGGCATCGCGGCAGCTGTTTAGAAGTTTTGGCGCAAAATTGGGTAATCAGTCCGTTTCTGATGTGATAAATACATGTAAATTACGCTTTTCCCAGAAGGTGAAACTCTGTATAGCTGTTTTGAAAGCAAACAAAGATGAATCAGGCAAAAAACACCTGGTATGACAACGCTTTTCTCGAAGAGGGATTGCTCAGATATAGCCATTGCATGGTTTATTGGAGGGAAAATCGATGCAAAAACTCTGATTTGTGTAAGTCCTGGTAAGAACCTGTGGTATACATGAATCTCTGGACAAAGTTTGCCTTCGGTGAGTTCACTTTTGGGCATTCTCAGCCCCTTTCCTTTTCCATATCACTGGTTATCCGTTCTTTCTTCCAATCCGGTCTTGTGATCAGGAAAGTGAGAACTTGAAGCGAGGTTAAAGAATGAACGCTGTTCTGCTCCATGTATCTGGGAAGATGGGTCTCCGTACACTCGTACATTCTCTTCCTGTCGATTTTGTTCAGACTACTTCATGTGTTCTAAAAACTGTCTTTGCCCCTTTCATTACAGATGCGGGAACTACGCAGCGGCTTCCTGGAACACATGAAGTAGGTCTGAACAAGAATCACAAAGAGAGAATGGACGAGCGCACTAGGACACGCTTTCCCGGACACATGCGAGCAGAACGACGCTCATTCTCCAACCCGCTTCGCGATGGAGCCTCTTCTCACCAAAAGGAGAAGTGGAATAGAAGAATGAGACCAAAATCAGCGTCTGTGTTTGAAAAACTGACAGAGTGGCCATGAACGTTTCACGACAGGAAGATCATACAAGAAAGCAAAGATTTGAAGCTTGAGGGCTTATAGGAGGTATAGAAAAAGTGGCTGAGTTTTGCATCGAAGAAATGAGATTGACTATCTCAGATGATTAACTCCTCAATGTTGACTTTCATCGGCTTGCCACTATCTTGCTCAATTTATTTCCGTTACAAGGCCGGCAAGTAAAAATATTGTATAAACAATTAGCCATACTTTATGAGTTTTTTGACAGACAGAACACTTTGTCTATTTTCTTTGTCTCAGTGATCAAAATACGTGTCAAACTTTCTCTCTTGCTGAATACCCGGTAAACCCATACGATATCTCTTGCCATGTGCAGAACGATGTCATTCATTTCGTGATAAGAGACGCGAAACCGTTTTGCACATATTGTTTAAACAAGCTTGAACTTGTTTTTTCCTGTTTACAAGTAGCAAATAATCCTAGATCAGGTAGATTGCAAGTATAAATCGTTAACGATACGATCAAGCTTGTTTTGACAAGATGTGCATAGCAGTTTGTCTCTTGGTCAACGGAATGACTGGAACATAGCATCCTCTACATGCATCCCATGGTAATTCTGCCATAGTTTGTGGTTAGCGCTAGGGTCACTTATCAGTTCACGTTCACCGTCGAGTCGTCTACTGCACGGTCTGGCCTAGATGGAGCACGCGGGCTCGGCTATGTCACAGGAGCACAACTTGCACAATAGCGATTTGTACTGGTAAATGCATTTGGCCACGCGGCGCGTCCGCAGTCAACGGCCAGTCCGTGCGGTCGGCGGTAGATGATTAGCATCTTGGTTGGAGAAAGGGAGAGCCGGATTCTGCTTTTACTTGGTGTAACGGCATTTGCGTTGTTATCAGACCTGCTGATTCTATCTTATTGTCATGCTTACCAATACAACAGTTCTGACTAAATTTATGACCTTGTATCGAGGGAAAGGAAAGGGACGAGAGATCGGTGAGTGCCAGCTCATCTGAAATAAGGAGGCGCTCGGCTGGTTGCTATTCTGACAATGATTATGTCTGTTTTGCAAGATATCAAATCAAGCTCCAAGCTTTAGAGGCACCGTGTTGTACAATAGCGGGGTCATACCTAAGCGGTTCCAATCGCTGCAAAAAATAACTTCCAAAGCGAGAAACCCGCTCAACGACGTAGGAGCGGCCATGCTGGCGCTGCCAATCAACGTTAGTAGTGTGAAGATACAAATGATCATAACGAAGGGCGCATCCATGACAATCTGAGAACATTAAAGCCCGCTTTTTCCATTATAAACCACCCACGTTGAGGGGCGGAGCCACCTTGGTCGCTTCTACCTTCTAAAACTACCTTTTCGCTTCATGATTCACCATTCGCAGCGAGACTTGAGCGATTACTGAGTTAGGGACTCTGCTAACAAAGAACGAAATCTCACCGCCCTCAATTAGGGTGGACGATGCCTTCAAGCGGTAGGAAGAACCAGAAGGTCACGCTTTAGGATGTTAGAACACGGACATATCGTTAGTGTCAATGTGGTTCCCAGGCGAGGATCTCCTAATATGATGTAACCGCAATCATTATGAGTCCCTAGGTGAGTATCAGATGAGGTGGTACCTAGAGATCTATGCTTGTGTTTTGACGACAACATCCAAACTGTTGATGATTTATGTATCATCAACCTCACAATTCCATAATCCTAATAGCTTACGGGTATTCCCCATAGGCTATATTCCCCAATCGCTTATATTTAAGTGCCGAATCACTCACCAATGAGTGGCACCTATCTTCCAGGGGCCGCGCCAAGCCGCGGCATCCTCTTTCTTGCACATATTTCCTGGACATTCTGATTGTGCACGGGTCAGCTCCGCCTTACTACCTATATAAGGAGCCCCCGATTGTATTATAGGTTGCTCCCCCGGTTCAACACCGGGTTCGTCTGTGGATAAATTATTATCGACACCACTATCGCCTACGACACTTGGTTCCCACCAAACAAACTCTACAACCTGTTGCCTAGGCACTGCCCTGAAATTTACGTTATCAACCATTCCCTCATTATTATGCGTACATTCATCCCGTCATTATTGTGCAGAAATTCTACACTCTCCGTAGTCATCGTTTCCAAACGGAAAGGATAAATGTTCAAAAGCGGTCTCGTGGGAGTGACTAATCATCAGAAGTGGATCCCTTTTCCAAATTCCTGTCAACTCCTATAGCGATATGAAAGCTCTCGGCTTACCAGGTTATCTGCGCTCGCGGTGGTCAACTTGTCTATAGGCCGTTCGCGCTGCGCACGAAGAGCAACGCTGCGCCGATTAACACGTTGACGACCGTGTGCATCCGCGCGTATGCACGTCCAGACCACCTTTTAGCACTTTCGTGCACCAATTTATCATGTGTAAACGAAAAGTTCTCAGGTAACTTCTATGCAATGATAACACTGGTGGCCTGGTTGTCATATAGAACACACGGCATTGCGGTAGCTGTTAAACAGTCCAAACCGCAGCCGTAGATCATCAGTCCATTTTGATGTGGTCAAAAATGGCTCGGTCGTCAACGTGTTGAAGATAGTTCATGACTGGAAGAAGCGCAGAGAAAACAGCGGGCGAGAGTGCACGGGGAAAGAGGAGTGACGCGCAATACACACCTTGCGCACTCTCTGCGCCCTTTGCGGACAGCCTACAGTGACCGCCAAAAAGTTGCGGACAAGCCGCCTTCCTTTTTTCATCGCTCATTTTCGGATGGAAAACAAAGATGAAAAAATGTTTGGATTGCATGAGGTGATAGAGCTCTTCAAGGGCTACAATACACACATTGTGCTTTCTGGAAAACATGCATTTTAAAAATTTCAAAAATCTTTTTCTAAGAAGAGTCCAAAAATGGCCGCGTCACAATGTCGCGGACAATAATTCTTCGAACGCGAAAATTTCCTTTTGGGTCCTATTTTCAAGTGGAAACACAAGTAATCCGTATAGGTAAGCAAACTACATTATAGAGCTCGTCGAGGACAATATTCAGGTAATGGTTAATTTCAAAAAACCCAAACTTGAATTTTATTTTGCTTTTTTTCAAAAAATAACTTCTAATTCCCCTTTTCAAGCCAAATTTTTTCACATGTAAACCTACTCAAGACATCCTAA